AAATGAAGCTTTAGTTACAATAAAATCAGAAAACATTTGTAGAAAAATAAAACAATCAAGAAATAAATGTATATTTTAAAAGCATAAATTGATTATGGATGCAAATCTTAAAAATAATAGCAATAGGAAGATCCACAAGAATAATGGTAATAGGGTGTTCTATAATAATGTATAATGCCCTTGTTGAATATTAAATATTAGAATCCTGTCAAAAATTGGCAATTATTCTGCCGCAAATCACGATACAGAAATTTCCCTTTCAAACATAACCTGAATTGAGCAAACACACAAAGAAATTAATTTATAATTGGTAAGCTGCACTAGGGTGTATAGCCAGATTTTTTTCAACATAAGCACCTTTTTTAAGTACTTTTTCAAAAAATATTTTTAATCACTTTACAAAAAAAATCATAATTAGGAACTGTGCAAAATAAAAAAAAAATTTCCTATCGGTTAAAGTTCTTAATTTATAAACATAAAATCAAAAAACTTTACATAATCAAGATAAAATAATTAGATTCTGATAAATATTGGAGGGAAAATAGTAAAAATTCTTGCATTTTTTGTAATTTAGAACGAAAATCATCGTAGCAAAGCAGGGTTGGCAGGTTTTTGACATGTGACAGTTTTTGACAGTTTAAACCATGGTTTAAACCGTCACGTCAAAAACCTCACTGTCAAAAATGTCGAAAATGTCAAAAACCTATATTCATATGTGAAATTTAATTAATACATAAAATTTATATATTTTTTAAAGGATANAGTATAAATGTGACAGATATTTTCCCCAGTGTAATTTTTGCTTATATTACATCTTATTTTTGAGCTGGTCGAGTCTCAAAATATTATTAATTGAGGGTGCCAAAAGGTGTCATCCACTTCCCTATAGTCAGCGCAATTCATAGCTGTTGAATAACAATTTGAAGTATGGTAGATAAAAGTTTAGTTTAGTTGGAAAATTGACATAATTATTTCAAGAAAACGGCCTCTACAAAACACTTGTAAGACAATGCAAACGTGCTGTGTTGAAAAGTTGAATCATACACTTCTACAGTCGTTATACTCAGAATGAAAAACAAATAGTTTCTTGATATAAAGCAACAAAATATATATATATATATATCACCCTGGATAACTTTTATTGCAATAATGGCTTTTTATATACTACATTAACTGCTAATCTCATTACCTGAAAGGGTTGACTTCAAATATATTATTTACCTCAAAATAGTAAATTAACTTAAATACGAAATGTAACCTTTCTTTGTTAGATTCTTCACTATCAAAATATCGAGGATAGTCCCGATAGTTTAATGAAGAAAAAAAGAGGTCAAAAGCTTAGACCACTTCTTCATTTTTAACGTATTTTGTTATATATATGGACTTCTTTCTCTACTCACATTTGTAAAACTTATATTCAAAGATGTAATGCAAAAAAGGTATTTATTTTTACTTTATTGAATAACATGTGAGAGGCAAAATTTTATTTAATTTCAAATAAGAGAAGTAGTGGGATTGGTGAAATATTTTCCAACAAATTATAAAATTGTATTTTTTATTCGACCTATTTCTTTCAAATTTTGCTATTTAAAATAACTTAGTTTAAAATTATGAAAATATTTGCATATCATCTAATGTTTTGACCATTATTAGATGAAATAATAAAGATAACAAAGCATTAATGAAAAAATAATAGTCGTACGAATTATTTTTTGAATAAGCAAGTTTTATATTAGTGTGCAAAAGTTTTAAACTTCTTCAAGAAGTTTTAAATTTTCAAGATAGGGATAGGGATAAGTATTTAAAAAGTGAAAATCACATTAAGGGGCCAAAGTTTTGTTCACTCTCTTGACTTTTCTACTGGTAGCTCATTTTCCAGATTACGTTACCCCCATATTCTTAAGAACGAACCTAAAAAAAATTTGTGCATTCCAAAAATGTAGTAGTTCCCTATTTACTGAGCTCACCAGCCTCCTAATCCAAAACTGTCAGAATTATTATTTTGATCTAGCTTAGTATTAAGGTTTTATACGAAGTTTTAACAATATCTAACACATTATTTTAAGTAACCTTCGATTTATATACAGTTTGCTCAATTTAAATATGTTGAAAGGTAACTAAAATTCAAGTACTTGCACACTGGTGACGTCATTTCTCGGGCTTATTGCAATAAGCTCTGTAAGCATATTGCAAAGTGAAGTCTGCAGCTTACGAAAAGCCAGATTTTTCAGGCTAACCATGGGAGGTTTTTGTGGTTTTCCTCTGTTTTAACAATATGTAACACATTATTTTAAGTAACCTTCGATTTATATACAGTTTGCTCAATTTAAATATGTTGAAAGGTAACTAAAATTCAAGTACTTGCACACTGGTGACGTCATTTCTCGGGCTTATTGCAATAAGCTCTGTAAAGCATATTGCAAAGTGAAGTCTGCAGCTTACGAAAAGCCAGATCTTTCATGCTAACCATGGGAGGTTTTTGTGGTTTTCCGCTCCATGTAAAGCAAATGTGGGTTAGTTCCATCAAAAAGTCCTCCAAGAAAGCAAAATTTCTCCCAATACTTACCCGGAGTTCCTTTGTCTTCTAGATTTGGTTAAAAATTACAAGGACACGGAGTTGAACACTGGTTACCGTAAAGTGAACTCTAAAAAATTTTATCGGGTGTTCAATAAAATTTTTAAGTTTTCCATCAGTTTGTTTTAAGAAAGGAAAATTTATTTTTAAATTATTATTTTTTTTAAAAAAAACCATTAAGCATTAAAGAAGTTTTCTAAAAATTTAAAAAAAAAAAAAAAAAAAAACATTAAGCATTAAAAAAATTTTAACAGTTTAAATTTTATTGTTCAAAATGTTAGTTTTTCAATAAAAATTTTTTTAATCAATTTCCTATTCAGCCATATTTTTTATATATATTTAAAATGATCTTTTAACAGAATATTCAGTAAAATAAAAGTACACATTATTTTTCTGGGTATAAATGTACACATTTATTTTTGAAAATATGGATTGTATTAATACAGATTCAAAATAAATTGTAATAGATTCTATACATTTTAAAATTCTGAATGAAACTGAAGCATGAAAAAAATATTTTTATTAAAATTAAATGAAACAAGTTTAACTTTCTTACACTATATTTAATTTAATGTCTTAAATTTTGAACAATTAATTTGTAGTTAAAAAAAATCATATTTGGTCATTTTTAGTTTCCTCCATTTCTTCAGGTTTTTACAACTTCCTGTGCCCTAGAAAAAATTGGTTTCATATTTGATAAAAGGTAAACTTTGCAATAAAGTAGTTTCATAAAATCAATTAGTGCCAAATGATTTCGCATCAAATGTCATTATAAATAAATAGTTAAAATAGTAAAAAAAGTTAAATTTTTGAATTAAAACATAAGTATTGTATTTATTTAACAATAAATAGCAATTTAAAATTGTTATTTTTTAAAAATAGGCATTAAAAACTAGACAGATGTAGACAAAATTTATTAGTAAATAAACAAGTTCAAAAGTTGTCGAAAATCATCCATGTTACAAATATAAGGAGTTTATAGTTTTAGGAAATGAAGCTTTAGTTGCAATAAAAACAGAAAACATTTGTAGAAGAATAAAACAATCAAGAAAAACATGTATTTTTTAAAAACTTAAATTGTTTATGGATGCAAATCTTAAAAGTAATTGCAATAGGAAGATCCACAAGAATAATGGCAATAGGGTGTTCTATTGAATACGCAATATTAGAATCCTGTCAAAAATTGGCAATTATTCTGCCGCAAATCACGATACAGAAATTTTCCTTACAAACACAACCTGAATTGAGCAAACACACAAAGAAATTAATTTGAAATTGGTAAGCTGAAACCAGGGTGCGTATCCAGATTTCTTTCAACATAAATAAGCACCTTTTTTAAGTACTTTTTCAAAATATATTTTCAATCACTTTACAAAAAAATCATAATTAGGAACTGTGCAGTAATAAAAATTATTTTTTCCTATCGGTTAAAGTTCTTAATTTATAAACATAAAACCAAAAAAATTCACAAACTTTACATAATCAAGATAAAATAACTAGATTCTGATAAATATTGGAGAGAAAATAGCAAAAATTCTTGCATTTTTTTTGTAATTTAGAATGAAAATCAGCACAGCAAAGAAAAACAAATCTCTTTTTAAAATATGAAAAATTAAGCACTTTTTACATACCCCGAATAAAAAAAGTACCTTTGTGGGCTTTCAAAAAATATTAGTAAAAAGTAAGCATCTTTAAGCACATTTAAAAATGCTACACACACTGTGCATATTAAGCAAGGAATTAAAGATCTCTAAGGAATCCTATGGGTGCAGCATGTATAATAATCTCAAAATGAAAAAAAAAATATATATATATATATGTATAATTTTTTTACTTATTTTTCTACGAATATGTAAAATGACTAATATTCTTGGTATTATTTTGGAATAGGTGATTGAAACTATTATGTTTAGCTGGCTGGAATCCTCATAAAATTATCTTAAAATTCAAAACCGCGATAAAATATTAATTTTTAAAACAATTTTTTTTTAAGTTCAAGATATATTTCTGAAGGCAAGTTTTGCATAATTAATGGATTTTAGTGGGAAACTCCATTACATATTAATAAATTTTATAAAAAATTAATGGTTATACTAAGCTAAAAACATCAGAGTACTCATTTATATTGAAATGAAATTAATTATTCAAAACTCAGATGCAGAAATAACTAATACATTTTACACCTAAGTAAATTACTCTTCTAACTGAGTTGATTGAATTATAATCAGTAAAAACTCATGTTCCTAAGACTATTTTCAAAATAAGCCCAATTTTACATTTAATGCTAAAAAAATCATGATTTTTTCAAAATTTTTCTTTCCAACATGAAACTTTGAGTGCAAAAGGAAGGGAACAAAATTGAATTTTTAACAGAAAAAATTGCTTCTTCATACATATACAGGCAGATAATGATAAATACTATACATCAATGTACTAATAGAAAATTTAGCTATAAAGAAAAATAAAAAACACATATCATTGAAAATTTCAAACTGATAGAAAACTACATATGAATGCGAGGAAATTAGAATATTAATAATTGAGAGATGTAAATTAATGAAGCAACAAAAACTAATTTTAATGAATTTAGCTTAATTGAGTTTTGGAACAGAAAAACCGTACTTATTTCATTGTTTCTACGGATATCACAAAATTTCACATAGATAATCTAGTTCATCAATGAGGTGGAATTATTTAAACTTTATAACATTAACTATTGAACTATTCAATAAATAAAATAGATTAAGCGTGTATATAACATCGTTTAAAAAGTAATAGTTAAGCAAAAGAAAACTAATTTATCAAATAAAAATTTTGAATAGAAGATTTATTCTTTTATGATACGAAATATTTTTGATTCAAAATTGGAGGGATAATCCTCTAAATAAATTGCAAAAAAAAAAAAAAACAGAGTTATAACCTATATTTCACTAAACAACAAGAACATAATGGGTAATTGCTAAATAAAACTACTGAAATAACTTTTTGAGCAATAAAATTCAAAACTAAGGAAAACAAATAAAGCATCTTCCAAAAATTAAGGAAATTGCAATGTAAAATTAAGAAAGGAGTATTGTATTTTTAGTGATTTCTGATGGAAAAAAAAGGCAGAAATTGTAATATATTTCGCAATTTCTAGCAAAATTTAGAAATATTAATGTTGTCCAGATAAAAAATATTACAAATTTATTACACTGAATCAAATATTCTTCCAAAATTTGCGCATACATGAAATAAATTTAATTTGTTAAATAAAATAAGTAAATTTTTTAAATTACATTCTTAACTCTAAAATTGACTTTGATGATGGCAATTTACTTTTTAAAAATTGACCATCACAATTGACCTTTTAACAATTGAATTTTTGACCAGAGTAAAAAAAATAAATATGTTAACCCAAAAAATATTTAAAAAAAACAACTTTTTGATGAAAGAACTTTCATTTTGGTCTTTTGATTTAAAACTTTCATTTTGGTCTTTTGATTTAAAACTTTCATTTAGGTCTTTTGATTTAAAACTTTCATTTTGGTCTTTTGATTTTGATTTATCATCCAAAAATAAGGTAACCATTCTCAAAACATCTGAGGCCATTTTGGGACGATCTTCGCATATTTTTAACCATTCTGGCTTTTTACTCACTGCAGAAAAATGTTGTTTAAAAAAGTCAACCGCCTTTTCAGACAAAGTTTCATCTCTAAACAAATGGGACATCTCAAGAAGTTGACAAACAGTACCTTCATTTAATTCAGATTCCAGTATGTCTCTACTATCTTCTTTAAGACCATCAACAGCATACTTATCTGCAAGCACGTACAGATTAAGCACCATATCATAACTTTTGTCACCGATTTCACTGCAGTAGAGATATTTTAAAAAATTTTTAAAAATAGAGGCATCTGCATCGGTAATTTGGATGGTTTTCGTATTGGATTCCAAGCAATCATTGTCGAACATAGCTTTAAAAACTGGAGAGCGAGTCACAAGCACAAATTTGTGGGCGAGAAGAGAGACACCATCAACAGTAATAGTTACGTCAGCCATTTCTTTCGAATCAAACAGTTTTTTAAAATCAGAGCATAAATTACAACCTCTTTTACATGGAACATTTATTGCTGGAGTGTTGGTCAGTTTTGGAGTAACAGAATTGTTAAAGTACATTATAAAGGTAAAATATGTAAAAATAAAATCACGTGAGTACTCCATGACTTGATCTTCAACCCTCAAAGTTGTTTCTTCAGTAGTAACATAAAACAGTAAAACTCTGGCATGTTCTAATTGTTTTTTATCAAATTTACATCTAACAGAATGACAATTTACAACTCTCAATGTACTCGAACATAGAACTTCGAAGTCTTTCGGTAACGCACCATCAACACTTAAATAGAATTTACTTACTACTCTTTTTTCGCTAGAATTTCCTTCACTCTTATAAGAAAGGGTAAAGCTTGGATTATAAACTTTCCCAAAGGAATCTACTGCATCTCTTCTTCCTTTAAAAGGCCAAAATTTGTAACACTCCTTATTACGGGTAGGAAAATCTACTATTTTCCAATTTATACAATAAAAGAATTGCTCGTCCATGCTTCACAAATTATCTGATGAAATGGATTGGTTTCTTGCAGGGATTAATATAGGGTTCTCGTTCACAAACAGCCGGAAAGGTTGTTTCTTGACTGCCCGAATCTTTTATAAACAGAGGCATTTGATTGGTCGATACTAGAATGGCATTATGGCTTGCTAATTTATTCAAAGCAAAGGCTATAACAAACAGACGTCACGGTGAACTTTGACATCACTGGTCTCTACTCTATTTTTTTATTTGATTTCTGTAAATTGTAATGAATAATAATTACATTCTGTCTCTGTGCCAAAAATTCTGAATTACGCAAATTTTATAACACATTTTTTTCAATTTTTTGAAGAATTATAATTCGTAAATCTTAAAATTTAAAAAGAAAAAACTAATACATTCTTTAAAAAATTTTTTTATATCGTTCTGAAATTCAAATGCTTAAAATAAATGGAAAAACAATTTAAGTGCTTATAAAAAATAAATAAAAAAATAAAATGAAGAATATTTTCATAAGCAATCTAAGCTGGCTAAAACAATAAATTACATGAAGAACAATAAATTTTCACACTACATAGGCTATATGAAAGATAATATTTTTAAAAAAATTATTGATTATTAAAAAAGGATTTCATTGCTATAAGGAAGATTTAGATTTATCCAATACCATCGAAAAATGTAAAAACATTTTCGTGGTTTTCTACAAAACAAATAGGTAACTACAAAAGCTTTTATAAATATGCTTTTATTCTGATACTTAAATTTTAAGTTACTTTGATTTCTGGGATGTGTTAAAAATATAAGAAGTGTGTTTCACAGTATTCACTAAGATGACAGATAATCTGTCAATGATGATAAAACTATTGATTATAAAAAATAATTTCATTGCGATAATCAATATTTAGCTGGAATTTTATTACCATTCAGCAATCTAAAAAAAACTTTTTCGTGGTTTTCCTTCGTATGTAACGCAAAATTTATTATTTTACTTTAATCTTCATTAAAATAAGCTATTCTTATTACTTTCATCAATATGATTGTACTCCGATACTTAAATTATTAATTACTTTGATTTCTGGGTTGAATTAAAAATAATAAGGGTGTTTCATTATATTCACAATGATAAGCCATCTATCAAAAAATGATTGATAATTAAAAAGTAATTTCTTTTCGATAATAAGCATTTAGCTATAATCCTATTACCGATTAAAGCAATCTGAAAAACATTTTCGTGGTTTTCCTTAGAGTGTAATGCAAAATTTGGTAATATTATTTTAAATTCCGACTTACTTTGATTCCAGGGTTGAGTTACTAAGAAGAGCTTTTCGTTATATTCAGAAAGATGGTATCGTATCTATTAAGGAAAATGATAATAAAAAAATGGTTGTTTACAAAAAATCTTTTCATTCAGATGAGAATGAACATTTAGCTGGAATTCTATTATCACCAAGCAATTTGGAAAAACATTTTCGTGGTTTTCCTTTGCGTGTAGCACAAACTGTGATTATTTTAACTTAATTTTAATTAAAAAAAATTATTTTTTTAACTTTAATAAATATGATTGTATTCCGATACTTAACTTGCAAGTTATTTAATTTAATATACCAATAAAAGCAATCATTTCATGGAAAAACATATTCTTGGTTTTTCTTAGCGTGTAACGCGAAATTTGATCATTTTAATCTTGATTAAAATTTATTTTTATAACTTTCATAAATAGTGTTTTACTCCGATACTTACTTAGCGAGTTACTTTGATTTTTGAATTGAGTTAAAAACTACAAAAATATAAAGAGCATCTCGTTATATTCACAAAGATGAGAGGGTCGGATCTTAAAATACAATTCTTAATCGAGGGTGACAAAAGGTGTCATCCACTTTCCTACAATCTGCACAATTGATAGCTGTTGAATAACTATTTGAAATATGGTAGCTAAAAGTTTAGTTAGTTGGAAAATTGGCGTAATTATTTCAAGAAAATGGCTTCTACAAAACACTTGTAAGACAGTGCAAACGCGCTGTGTTGAAAAGTTGAAACATACACTTGTACAGTCGTTATAACTCAGAATGAAAAATAAATAATTTCTTGAAATAAAGCACCAAAAAAATATATATATATATATATCACCCTGGATAACTTTTATTCCAATAATGGCTTTTTATGTACTAAGTTAAATGCTAATCTCATTGCCTGAAAGGGTTGACTTCAAATACAGTCGGACTTCTATTTAACGAACTTCCATTTTACGAGTTTCTCCATTTTGCGAATTTTTTCGTGGAACAGTTTGGAAATTTCTTCGTATATTAACTTCCAAATAGCGGAGTAAATTTTCTATTTAACAATTTTTTTTTTAGATCTACTTTCCCTAATTCCCAAAATATTTGAGAAAATTATAACTTTGTTAACGCATTTTATGGGGGAAGTGTCCTTGAATTGATTTTCGCATTCACTTAACTTATAGAGTAAGCAGTAAAATTCCTTTCCCTTTTTGCTTGCATTTCATACAGGAAATGCAACACCTCTAGAAAAGGGGGGTCAAATTCTTTGAATAGGAAATGAGGGGTCAGCCAGAGGAATTGTCAAACTCCCATCATAATCAAAATTCGTCACAGGAGGGGGAAAGAAGGCAGGAAGTACATTTCAAAAAGACTAGTAGCTACATACTAGGACTAGGAAGCTACAAACTTCTCTATTTTTCGCTAAAAGATATTCTTTCTCAAATTTTCTTTAAACAATAATTTTTTTGTAAAATTATAGAATAATAAAATATTATTTACTATAAACATTTTAATATCTTTTTTAATGTTTAATCTCTCTGTGTTTAATTTTAATATTTTAATTTTTTTCTTCTTTTTGTCAAATGTATCTCGCTGGTCGATAGCTCACATAGGCATGATATTGATAAAAATTTATTTTCATAATTTGGAATTTTTTTTTTTAAATATTCGTTTAATACGAGAAATTTTTTTAAATATTTATTTCCTATTATCAAACCTTCTTTTTTATAGGATAAATAATTAAATAAGAATGTGCTTTCTTTTAATTTATATTATATTGAGAATCGTTAAATAAATATGTTTAAATGGGCCAGCATTCGGCGGATTTATATTTTTAAGATCCTCTTTTATGTGGGAATAGCTTATAAGTTATGGTTCCAATCGTTAAACCAGAAGACAAATTAAAAATTTTAACCTCTAAATCTTATTTTCCAACTTAGAGGATTTCCCCAAAATGGAAGTCAAATACTATTTGCACCTATTTACTCTCAAATAAGTTTATGATGTAAGTATTTTTTAACAGTTTTTCATTGTAAAGCATACATTTTAGAATGTATAAAAATGAGTTATTTTTAAAGGTCAAATACCAAAATTTAAATTATTAAAATGATGTCTTTGCCACATAAGATATTATCGTTTAATGAAAAATATTAAAAAAAGGAAAAATCGTTATTATTTTTTAATTATTCGTTTACTTTATTTATTTTTTGCAATATTTCTCCTTCGAAAGAATGAAATACGCAGGGTATTTTTGATTTATTTAATTTGTTTTAAAAACCAGATGAAACACGTAAAAAATAGTACTAAAATTTTCAAAAACGGTTTCAAATTTATTGTACATGTCACGTTTCTGTGCTGTTTTGGAATTTAATTTTTCATCTTCCACCGTTTTTCAGAGGAATATCTTTCGCTATGTTAGAAATATTACATCTTAGAACAAAATATTTTGATTTTAACATCAAAAGTAATTCAGAGTAAAACGTTCCGTCCATCTCTTGCTTTTATAAATTTATTCCTGGGCTAAGAAATTAAAATTTTTAAATGAAAAAATAAGGAATGTAAACATATTAAGAAGTAATTGCCATAATACTGTTATTAAGTCAGTTCTATTTTTTCAAACGCTAATAAAAAAATACCTCAGAGGCGATTTAAAAAAATCGATTTTCTTTATGAAAATTCGAAATTATCGCTATCTAAACCCAACGCAATCATTGACTAACACTGATCAATTACATTAAGTTTTGTTTTAATGGTTTCGTTTAATTACAATGAATTTGTGTAACTTTTTTTTTATTGAACATTGAATTGAGACATGTGGGCTTAATGAAATTTAATTTTTCAAACAAAAGTTTTTCATTTACTTATAATGCTTTATTTATTTACTAGGCTCCGCCCCCTGCTCGCTAACGCTCGCCAACCCCCGAGAATTGCTACGCAATCCTATGTGGTTCACGCCGTGAACCATGGTTCGCTGCGCTCGCTCGCCAATGAACACAATGTTCTAGCACAAAGACATAATATATTATCATCAAAGACCTAGTATTTTAACATCAAAGACATAGTATTGTACTTATGTAGATGAATTCTACCAATGTTCTTATTGGCTTTTAAAAAAGTATATTAGCTATTTAGATTGTACATGGTGAAAAAATCAAAACATTAGCTATGTTAACGCTTAATAAGATATGTTTAATTCTAAGAAATAAAGTTAACACCTACGCATGATCTTCTAAAGGATCATGAGTGGGTGTAAGTGGCGTTCATCACGCGCCACGAAAAATAACCATTCTCGTTCTCTCTCTACATAGAGAATCACGCGGGTCAACCGCTCCTCTCCAGTCCGACAAGGACGATTTGCTGTTTCTTATATCAAAATAAAATTATTGTTTGAATGATACAGTCCTCTGCTCAATTCATTGCAACACACGCCTAAAATCCCTCCATGTTTTTGGTCCTAGCGACCCGGAGGTAAATCAGCTCATTTTGGATTACTACAAGCCAAACAATGGCTACTGGGAAGTCAAACAATGACGACACCGAATCTTTGTCTCAAAGAAGTAGAGACATAGCCTCGCTAAATCGTAAACGTGGCAATTTAAAAGGACAACTGACAAAACTATCGAATGCTGTTTCGGAAGCAATGCAACAAACTGAAATAGACATTTTCGAACTCGANATACAGTTCCTGGCCATATTATTCGACGCACTATAAGCTTCTATGTAAAATTATAATT